GGTAAAATTCCCTGGCAGCATTGGTCTGGAAATACTTCTGAATTTTTTACTTTCCACTTCTGCTGCTAGCTCATAGAGTTTTGCTTTCCTAGCAGCTTCAGCTACAGTCTTGGGTTCCAAAACCTTCACCTTATGCTTCAATTCCTCCTTAAGACCACTAAAAAAACTGGAAACAAAATACTCATCTCATAGTTCAGGATTAATCTGAAGAAGGTAAGGTTGAAGTTCCTCAAACTGAGCTTCATACTCCTCCACAGAGGACAGTTGAGTCAATTTATTAAATTCATCAATAACATCAATATATCCTTTATCAGCAAATCGATGACACATATCAGAAACAAACTCATGCCAAGTAACTCGACTTTTCTTCATAATATACCCATCAAACCACACTTCAGCCTTACCAGTAAAGTACATAGCAGCTATTTCTAACTTCTGTAATTCAGGAACAACAAAGATAGAAAAATATTTCTCATATTTCCTAATCCAACTCCTAGGATTAGTACCATCAAAGAACTGGAGCTCTATTTTTGGTTTCGGAAGAAACATACCAGTGTTGTTATTGCTGGAATATTTTTCCATAAATGGATGACCCTTACTGACAGGTTGTTCCCCTGACTCCATTGTATTTACTGTTGTTTTCATCTTAAAAACATCCTGTGGCAAGGTAGGCTTGGATGCTAGGATTCCCGGTTGTCCTGGTTGAAATGAGTATTTCTCCTTATCATCAAGGACTGTAACTTGTAATGGCACTTTAGTTGCATCCTTGATCTGAGTTGTTGGTGCTTGTGGTCGTTCTGCAGGAGTAGATTACCCAGATTCAGTCCCAGCCTTCTGCACCAACCCCAATAGTTGCTGAAGCATGTTCTTCGTGTCAGTTGTTGTAGCCTCCAGTAGTTGCATCCGCTGCTCCCAAGTACTCTGTTGAGTAAGCCACCAAGTTGGAACTGGCTCCACCTCAGAAGACTCTACTGGATCAGCAGGAATGACCGGTGGCTGATCATTGTGAGTCATCTGCTGCAATTTCCTTATTTTACCCAGCTTGAGAAAAAACAATATTTAGTATTTTTGGATCAAAAATGGCCTTGCTCTGAATACCAATTATGATGAAACGCTCACAAAATAAGAAAGGATTTAAGAAGATAGAGAGAATAGAGTAAAGAAAACAGAATTCATCATCATTTCATTCATAATTTCCCTCTTTCTCCTCATCAGCCTGTAATTTGTTTCCTCGTTTCTTCTCATCAGTCTCCCGTCTTGCCTCCTGGATCATGACATAGAGGAAACATTATAAGTGAAAAAGTCATACCGGAGAGAACGAGGACTCTAGGTTTAGCCATGTTGCGACCTAATCTGCCAGATTTGCCCCAGATCCCGAAACTTTTAGCGACGCGAATTGACATCACGATCTTCTGCTCCGTGCCTTCGATTGCGACCTCGCAAGCACGCCTTAACTCCTCGTTAGGCCGGTCCTGACATTTCAAGGTGCTAGCTAAAATAAGAGGTAAGGACTCTAAAAAATCACTTAAAATTTAAGAATAAATTTTGATAAACGTTAAATAAATTTTTTTATTAAAATTTATACGAGTAGATTCTATTATATTAACCAACATTATTTTATCAAATATATAAAGATATATCACAATTTTTCTCTCAATTTATTTTTATTATCTTTAATCATCTCTTAAAATTGTTTCTCTCAATCGAAAATTGACGCCTCTCACCATTGTTATCTTGATATAGTTTTTCATTGGATCCTCAAAATGTAAGATTATTTTTAGCAAGACATTTAACAACAGAGAATAATATCTGTAACACTTGTCTCCAACGCTCTTTCTCTTTCATAATCTCTTCTTACAAATTTCTATCGATTATTTGATTTGTATTCATTCTTACTCTTAATTCATTCCAAGTATTCATATTAGTTATATGTTCAACACTATTTTCATGTTGTTTAAGCCTTTAGCTAATATGTTTTCAATCACTTAAGTCATCATTTACTAACAAACTTACAATACTAATGAATTTGAACAACTTGCAACAAAAACAATATACTTTGTCAATATTTTTGGAATAAACTAACCATTTTCTATCACTAGTCTCACCATTGCTTAACTTTCTAGAATAACATGCATATGAGAAATGTATATAATATTTATCAACAGGAAATTCAAGATCCATTTCTCTTAGGTGCCCTTTTTCAACTAAAATATCTCTCGCATTATTGTCAAGATTCTCCCAATTTATAGGATCATATATATTCAAATGAGGAAGTGTTTCTTCACCGATGCCTATATTTTCAACATTTTCATAAATTGGCACATCATTAAAGTCAATTGGATCATTCACTTCATCATTCACATTTTCATAATTTCTAGGATTTTCAATATGCAAATTTTCAGTTGATTAATTCAAAATTTCATGAGAATCAACATTTTTAAACACAAATTTATCAAGAACACTTTTTTGTGACTTCTTTAACTCCTCTCGCTTCCTTTTTTTATTTTTTCACTTATAGACAAATGTTTTAAAGAACTCGAACTCAAAATCCGCTTAGGAGATATTAAGCTATTTGTCACTTGAACCACCCCATTAGTGCAATGTGCCAATATTTTGAATATGTCTTTATTAAATTTAAGATAGTGGTATTACGTAGTTTTATAATAAGAAAAATTATTTGTAATCTAATTTGTTTCATTTATGAAGTTAAAATTTAAACTTTATCTTATACAAAAAAAATTAATAATTTATCTCATTAGACTAATTAATTATTAGTAACTAAGTAAGAGGTTATATAAACTAATTTAGTTAAATTATGAGTTAATTCTATGTAATTTTGATTAAAATAATAATCAATTTTTTGAATAATAACTTAGTTAATCACAAATAAAAAAATGAAAATATTGAAAATTTATTGTAAAAACAAAATAATTCAAAGTTTTATAAAAACATTAAAAAATAATTTTATTACCACTTCTACTGCATTTTATTTTATGCACTTTGATCCATCAATAAAGCCCAACAAATATTGGCAAAGGCTGAAATTTTGGGTTCATGACTCTTATGAACTTAAATTTGGATTTTACTTTTACTTAAATTATCTCATATTTTAGTATTATTTTAAATCCCATCACATTTGACTTGTTTTTAATTTATTTTTTTAATATGAAATGCCAACTTTATTCCATTACTAAAGTATTAAAGTCATTTCTCCTCATTAATGTGGTATACAACTAAAACCAAAATACTAAAACGTCTAAAATGAAACTAAAACAAATCTAGAAACCTAAATAGCTGGCCTTTCTTCTTTTGCTTTTAACATTTCTTCATGACACGAGTGAAGCAAAAAGAAAACAAAATCCAGATTGAACCAGGACCGCGACCCATCATGGCCCCCTCCAAACCTGGGCCCTAGGCGGTCACACTCCGTGCCTGGGCTCAGGGCCAACCCTGCTCCTCATCGTCTGCACTCGATTTCGCCATTTCGTATTCTTTCAACTTTCTCCTCTCTTCCTCAACCGATGCGAGCTCCCCAGTTGTCGGATCTCCAGGAGAGGGATGAAATAATACGAGAGAAAAAAAAGTGAAAATTGATTGACTAACTCTATACCAGACACAGACCAAATAAAATATACCAGAAAGAAAAGGAAAAGTCTATGAGTCCGTTTATAACATATGAATGAAATTTAAGTACTTTGTTTCACTCAAAACGTTTTTCATAAAATATTTTTTATAAAATAAATTATATTTTTTATAAAATATTTTACGATGTTTGGATAATATTGTTTAAACCCTTTCTTCACTAATAATATATATATATTTTTAAAATTATTTATTATAAATATTAAATACAATAAATAATATTATTTATCATAAAACTTAATATTATTATATTTTTAAAATATTAAAATAATTTATTTATTATTAAAATATTATTTTTTATAATTGTTTTTAATAAAAATATTAATATTGGTATATTTTATTGAAATAAAAATATTATAAATTATATTAATTATTTATTAAAGTAATAGTATTATATTATATTTTTAAAAGATCAATTAGTATATTTAAAATATCTTTATTAAAATATTATTAGATTATTATATTAATATTAAATATATAAATAATGTTATTCATTATTAATAATTTTATAATATTATTTCTATTAAATTAATAAATAATATAAATTTTATTAATAATTTATTATATATTATTAAAATAAAAATATAATATCTTATATTATTATAATATAATTGATTATTTTATTATAATATTAAAAATATAATATTATATTATTAGAAATATTAATAAATATATTTTAAATATTTTAATAATTAATATTTTGATTAAAATAATATTAAAATATTTTATTAATATTAAATTTATAAAATAAAATTATTTTGAGTATTTATTCTTTAAAGTAAAAAGTTCAGAAAATGACTTACGGAAAATCAGACCGTAAGTCATTTTCCATAAAACACAAAGAAAATCATGTTGATCAGAAAAATGTTTTACGTTGACCAACCAATTTTCCTCCAACCAAACACTGGAAAATAAAGAAAACATTTTATGTGAAACAAATGGACCCTTATAAATCGAGGGGCTCGGCTCGATTTGTCTGAATAAACCGGGTTCGAAATAAAATTATGCCATTATAAAAACATATAATAATTGTTTCTATAATTCTTCGAAATATTTATAATCATTAGCTCTCTAAATCCATCCAATCTCTTTTATAATATAATATTCAATGAACTTATATCCAAATTTCAATATTTATAATTGTTCAATATTCAGGTGTAATTATGCTTTATGCTTTGTATCAAAGGAAAACTAAAATTTTAAATGTGAATCATGGAAGCAAGTATTTGATTATGTACAAATCAAGCCATATTTATTGTTATTAAACAAAATTAAATCATGAAATTTCATCGGTCATCCAAGAACAGCTCTTTTGCTATACAAATTTTGATTGAAGTAATCACCATACATGAACATGAACCCATCATCTGGACTTTCTTCTCCTTATTGTTATTACAAAAAATAATAATTTTAATGTTTAAAGTGTAATTGTTCTTGCAAAAAAGGAACAAAAAAAGATTAAATGCAGTATATGCAATATAATAGCTGTAATAATCTACACGAAAACACCTAGATCTCCCCGTTGCTTTCTCTTCACCCAGCGCCATGAGCAGCTACAATCTTTACAGTTCCAACCGTTCCTGATGATTACGCCACTTTCTCAGCAAACAAACACTTGCCCAGAGAAGTTGGTATAGTTAAACGAATTGAAATCCAGCAGCAAATTAACAAGCGTTTCCCATTTGTTTCAAACTCAATTAAGAATCCATAGCAAACGGCGTTTGCAGGAGATCATAGGGTGCCCGTAAAGCGTCCAAAGGGCATGGCCTATTAGCATCAAGCCTCGCCCAAGGTTTCCCTTTTCCACTCCAATGTAAAAGACTAACCGGAACTGGATGTAAATCTCTGCACAAAACTCTAAAATTATCGCCCCCGAGGCCATGCTGATTCCATCTGTGATCAACCGGCACGATATTTCCAGCGAAAACTAACAAAAATGGTGGCAGAGAACCCAGGTCGTAAATTCTCATTCTTTTCTGAAGCTCCATCCATTCTTCAATCTTCGCCGTGTAGTCTCCTTCTCTCCATCGATCAAGGTCCATGACCATAACACCAGTGTTGAAGTAACAGCGCTTACGGTTCGCGAAAGTCAAGGACAAGGAAGGGTTTGACCAAAACGTCGAAGTAAAGTAGGCCGTGAAGTTTGCATTGCAATGCTCCGGTGCAGCCAAGACTGAGTAGTCTCCGAGTGGGGTTGCGGATAGTTTAGCTACGTCATCGACCAGAACCAGGTCGGAGTCAAGGTACACGACTCGCCGGACGCACAGAGGCAGTAGATTGGCTAAGTAGCTTCGAGCGTAGTTCAAAGGGCAATCCAAAGCAGAGCGGATGGAGGTTGAAATGAGGCGCGAAACAGAGGAGTCATCAAAGGGGTAGACTCGGAAGTTGAGGTAAGGAAAGGAGGATGATATTGTGGCGCGTAAAAGAGACACGTCGGCCGTGGCAGAGGCTACGAAATGGAAGACAATGTTCTTAGGACAAGAGGAGTGTTGAAGTACTGAAAAAGTAGCCGCCATGGAGCCACGGATGTAAGCTGTGTCGAGAGTCATTGCCACATGAACAGCTTGATCGGAGCACAAAATGAAGGAATCCCCTCCATCTAATTCATCTTCATCAACAATTACTGGACAATCCAGAGAGTTATAGAACTGTGGGGTTTCCTTGAATTGTCGGGTTACCGATGTACCAACGGTGGCATTAGCAATGACGGTAAAGAGTAACAGAAGGAGAAACTCAAATACTGGTGATTTACTCATTAGTGAAAAAGAGAAGGCAAAGGGTGTTGCCCAGTTGGCCAATTGGCCTTTAAAAAGAGGGAAGATCTAGCTGGAAATGGTGTCTAAGGCTGAAAAATCAGGGGACCTTTTAGTCAAGAAATTTCTTTGAGGGAGTTATTGAGTTCACATTGATTCTAGATTGTTTTGTTTTGTACAATTGTCTTCAATTTTGTTCTTTATATATATTCAAAAGGGCCCACACTATGATCCTACATCCTTTCCATCAACTCTCAAATGCTATTCCCTGTTTTACTCAATAAGGAGAGCTTTACATTTTGGTAAAGAATAGAGCTCCTCTCCAATGGTAAAATTTGGGGTTAAGCATTCAACCGAGGGAGGGGTCATAGTTTGTATAATTTTATTTTAAGCTTAGATTTGTATTTATAGTTAATTATTGACTTTTTGGGTGGAATCTTCGAGTTTGTTCAATAACATGAGATCACAATTCCAACGCCATTCATTTTCTATCTTGGGTTTTTGTTTTTCCTTGTGTTAGTGAACATAGGCATACATTTTGATTCAAGTTTAAGAAAAAATAAATGAAATTTTATTCAAGTAATATGGTGTGGTTGTTGATGGCTCCTCGTTGTAAGAAATTTAAGCCTCCAGATATGGTGGAGAATCGCAGTCCCAGAAAAGTGTGGTTCATCAACCAGCAAAAGACCATGCTTTCTAACGAAGTATGTTGTTTTCTACGTGTATTTGCCATAGGAACAATAACACGCCATATACCTATACTTTTAAAATTATTTAAAGTCGTAATTTTTTTTAAATTGAATTTCTTTTTTATCGGTAAATGATATAAGTATTTCATATTTAATCTAAATTAAATATTATTTTTCATCATATATCTGAATTTACAATAAAATTTAATTTTTTTTTCGTAACATAAGAAAAATGAACCTAATATATTTTTAAAGTATTAGTGAGCGAAAGCACCCTAACACCTTTATATCATCATCAAATAGTTTGAGAATATTATAATAAAGAGAAGAAAAAAAAATGAGTGCAACCAGCAACGCAGCTTGCAGCCAATGTTGTCATTGAATACACAGTATCGTTCTCTTCTCGATAAGTATGTTGTATTTGTATATTCACAATCATGCAATATCATCTTCAATGAAGTAATTATGAGTCAACCTCGTGTTTTAAAGAACTTGTGTTACAGAATAATTACAGAATATTAATTTTATATGAAATTTTAAATATTTTAATTAATTAATACTTTTTACAATTGATTTATATAATTATTATCTATATTGTATTTAACATAGTCTATTTTAACATAAATACAGTGATTTTAGTAATTAAGGAATTATTGTTATTTTTTTTATGTCTTTGTGTTAAGCACTGCATATACAAATATATTAATCTTTATTATCAAATTATTAAGAATATTTAAACATATATTATCTTATATTTATCTTATTTTATGAATAAAAAATATGTGTATTTTCACTGCACCAATTCATCCTTGATTTTTTTTTATACTCGTGTCTTTTCTAAACTTGACTTGAGGTGTCTAACTAGTAGAATTTAAAAACTGTCCCATACATTAATAAAAAAAAGTACTTTATTAAGATTCTATTGATGTGTCATATTTAATTAACCAATGAATATCGCATGTCTTTAAAAAATAGATTATTAACCTTGACCTTAAGTTTATAAATGGTACTTGAAAAGCTTTATTTGGTACTAAAAGTTTTTCAAACTACTTCTCTAGACCATAGGTCTAGAAGTTTATCTCCATTAGATTTTTATCGATGACCATATTTCTGGTAAAATATATTTTCAAATAAATTAAATAAAATACTATAACATGCTGATTAATTTTGCATTCTAAGATTCTTATTATAGATAAGCCTAACATCTTACCAATAGAATTTTGCTCGTTACTTGAAAGTAGTTTATGGATGGAAAGAAACACTGGTATATAGGGATGGTAAACGGGCAGGTCGGGTGCGAATACTCCTCCCCCATCCCTATACCCACATAATATTTTTCAATCCACCACCCGCCCACCACCCATGATGGGTACAAATTTTTAAATCCACACCCGCTCACGTGGGTACATTCTCAAATCCAACCCTACACCCACTACCCACTAGCGTCGTACCCGTCTAGACCCGCTTGAAAACAAACTTTTTTTTTACGGAAGAGGTTTCAGGTTTTGGCTTTTATGAAAAGAAATGATATGTAAAGATGAATTTATATTTACAGTCATTCCAACCAGAGTCATAAATTTGATGAAATTATTAATGTCTTCATCACGTTCACATGTGCGGTCAATAAAATACATTTGTGCTATGCTTGAGACCCTCTGGAAATCTTTTCAGCTTTGAGTGTATATAATGGTTCATACTCAACGAAGAGGTCTGACAGGTAAAATTCCAGAATAAGTTTATCTACACCAAACATATGGTATCTTGCTAATTCACAATTCACAATTCTAGAATAAGTTTTGACAGGTACAATTAACTCAATGATATCAAATACTTCTTGTGGCACAAACAATATTCCCAATAACAATATTTGGTTAAATTACATGTTATATCTTATACAATATTACAATTTATAAATTAGTCTCTAAAATTACACCTAAATTCATAATGGTCCAAAATTTAATGGATATTTAGCTAGACGGCGGATGCGGGATGGACGGATGCGGGGCGGGTAATGACTCAAACCCATTACCCGCCCACTACCCGCGACGGGTATCACTTTCTAAATCCACACCACCCACTACCCGCTAAAATTATACCCATCCCCGCCCCAATTGGAGCGGGAGCGGGTGCGGTGCGGAATCTACGAAACTGTACCCGTTTGCCATCCCTACTGGTATATGATATCCACCATCATTTAATTAAAACCTGCTTATATGGATGGAGGTCTCAATGGCCTATATTCTTAGTTAGACAAGTTATTTGGTTCAACTCAAATTGATCAACCTTATCACATTACATAATTAAAATTTTGGTAAACTACACAATTAGTTTGGTTTCTGTTGTTTTCACTTTGATTGGGTTTGGTAACTATCAGACGAGCATTGTTCATCTATCAAAATATGCTAAACATCAAACCTGGGGCGAACTTTTTCATATTTGGATTGAAGGAAACTGATAAGAAAACCAGGTTGTCTTTCAAATAAATATTTTCCAGGAAAGTTTTACCTGGGATCATGATAATGACCGAATTCGGATAAGGTAGTACAAACAAACAACTCAACTCCATGGTCGAAAACATGGAGATAAGAAGTAAGATTAGTGGAGTCAAATAGAGGGTAATTATTTGCTTGGGGGGGGGACTAGTAGTGGGAAGTGTGGAAGAAAGCACGTGATGATTGTTGGTGGTTGAATGGGCTACAAGGGCGTGTTCAGAATCGGAGGTTGGGCTGATGTAGGCCACGTACTTGGGAATACGTTACCTCACGACAATCAGCTCGACTCAGACTAATGGAGAAATTATTATATGAACCCTTTCCCCCACCATCACTACAATAAAAGTGTTCTATAGCGGCGTTTTTAGGGTAAACACCACAAAATTTAAGCATTTAGCGGCGTTTACTATCCAAACGCCACGAAATTATACTTTACCAGCGTTTTTCCAAAAAATGCCGCAATAGAGTGGTAATTTAGCGGCATTTATAGCAAAAACTCCGGAATAGATTTGTTTACAGTGGCATTTTTTCAATAAACGCCGCAACAGGGTTGTTTATAATGGCGTTTGTCTAACAAACGACGCTATAGATAATTAATTTAGCGGCACTGATTAAACAAACGCCGCAATAGGTTTGTTTATAGCGGCATTTTTGCAAAAAACGCCACAATAGATTAATAATTTAGCGACGTTTGTAGAACAAACGCCGCCATATGTTTGTTTATAGTGGCATTTTTAAAAACGCCGCAAAACATGTACTACAGTGGCGTTTGTTTTAAAAACGTAGCCAAAGGGTCAATATATGCTCTACCCTTTTCTTCTGCCTAAATTTATTCCAACGCTGCTTCCCTAAAAGGGATTTCTCTGGTACAACAACAACACTCACACGATTCCAAGCGATTTCCTCTTCTGTCTGTCTTGGTGACCAAATCGGTCCTCGACAAACAGTTATCTCACGATTGCACGGTTTGATCCCTTCTCTAAGTACAAATTTTTTTCATTTTTTTGTTGGTATTATGAAAATGGGGAAAACCCAGAAAGCTGGTGTAATGGAGAAAAATAATATATTTTGAATAGGAAAATAATATCTATACATTTTGTTTTACTGGTTTACTGCTTCAGAGCTGTGTTTTTCTTCTTTCGAATACAAAAATAATATCTTTGCAATATGATAATAATAGCTTTTCTAAACGTGAACAAATGGTTGTGGTACAAATAGCAGGTGTTTCATTCAGTAAGACAAATTATCGTCAGAATGTCCATGTGGCGTCTTTGCTCTGACGATGGATCGAATTATCGTTAGGAGGCTATCAGTCCGGACTTGCCATCGAAAGTCGATGATGACCCGAAAGGCCCTCATATTGCAAAATACCCTTCTATGGCCGATCTCCTAATTGAAGGTAATAATTAAACGCTGAAAGTTTATGCCACCGATTGTTTTATTTTGTACTCCCAAATTTCATAGATCGCACGCGTGTAGGATGTTCAAAGCTTATTGAGAACGATGATAGAGAAGTGGATAAAGACCTGATGTTTAGAACCGAAATTGCTAAATCCGTGGCGTTGAAAGAATCTTCAATTGCAAAAGCAATATCTATCCTCAATGAAGACAACGTTGCCTCTACTGATACTCCAAGTAAACTTTTCTATCTTCTATTTAATTTTTTTTAATGTTTGATTCAGTTCCAAAGCCACCTCCAATCAAGTTTCATACTGTAGGTGGAAGGTTGTTATCTGTTTCAAGTGAAGCACTGCAGCGCGTAAGGACTCTTCTTGGTGAACCGGATGTACGGGATTTATTTGGTGAAATGGATGAAGAGTTTCTCTATATAGAGTTTACACAGAGGAAAAACGCAACGATGCAT